CTGAGTGAGCACAGATAAACAGTATGACGATCAAAGGCCTCTGATAGCGCTTAGGGGGAGGGCGAGGGAGACAAGGACTGATCGGCCTCTGGAAAGGACTGAAAGAGACCAGGGCTCAGTACCTTAGAAATGGGAATGAAAAGAGGAGAACGCAAACAAAGACCTGTCCTGTCCTCGCTGCAGCCCACTCGCACATCTTAATTACACTTTACATTAAACAATAACATTTGAAAGAGGAACAAAGTCAGGCACAACATTTGCCTATGATTTGAATTATGGTTAAGAGGGGAAACACAAGAGGAAATTGATTCCCTGCTGACAAAAGAACCAGAGGAGGTAAGATGGGTTATCATCACAAACAAAAGTGTTCCTGCCAAACAAAAAAAAAACACTCCATGAAAGCCTGGACAAAATATCAAATATTAGAAACTGTACTTTATGTCTGATTGTTCTGTTTAGAATCACACAACAAACAAGAGAGAAACTATCTCGTATTCTCTAACTGATTTATAGATATTCAACAGAACTCATGGGCTTGAGGAAAACTGGACCCGCTGCTTTAGCTTTTCCTTTAATCATTTCATGCTGCACTCAAGGGGTTTATCGAAGTTGAAAATATTTGTTTTAATTTTTGATGACATATCAACAAAATACCTTACTGGGACATCACTAGTTATGAGCTTAAAGACCTGAAAGGTTTGTTTGAGCCACGGCTGTTGAAAGAGTTTCCCTAATGTTTCAGTGGATCACTGAATGATTGTTAAAACTCATCCATTCAGAACAACCATTAAGATATGATGTCGCAAAGACTCCGCTTGAAAAGTAGAACCGTCCACCAGCTGACATTGTATAAAATGACCACCTGCACTTTAACCAACCTTTTTAAAAAGGGCCACTAACATAGCTATCTAGATTCATGTCAATAATGATGGGTGACTGAGCTTATTTAGGGCAGAAAAGTAAGCTCTTCATATGAATCTATATCTGGTATATGTCTATGGACTATATTCATCCATTTGTTTTGTTTTTTTACAAATTATAATCTTGGATCTTAATCCACAAATTAATTAATTAAAGAAATCTACAGGTGTAGAAGAACATGTGATGCTAAGGAGTACGGCACAAGATATAAGCAGGCAGAGCAAAAAATTGCACAGCTCTAGTGCTGATGAGTCAGTAATAGGACAAGGTGTCACTACACAGACGTGCAGATCTAGTGTCAATCCAGGAATCATATGCTTTCACTGAAACCAACCTAGAGGAAAGTAAATGAATATTAACATGAAATTAAGAGGTCAACCCTCTGTAACAGAGATGGACCCAGACAGGAGAATGTCTGCTAACACTTCTTGCTGAGAGGTGCACAGTCCCGCTGTGCCATCAATTCTTCTGACATTTGGAAACTAACATGGCCTTCTTAGAGCAGCATGGGGTTGGGGGGGGGGGCTGTTGCCATAACTACCATTATCTCAGCAGTAGCAACAAGTATCCCTGTAGGGAGTTTTGATGTCCCTCGCGAAGAGATCAGAGGAGAGCAACGGTGCTCATCTTTATACATTCACTGAGCAAGCTTAAAGAAGCCGAAAGAGCTTTGAAGAAGGTTGGGGTTCAGAATCTAGGAGTCTATCCTTTCACCTATGAAATCCATTACTCACCAGGGACAGAAGATGTACCTTGTGGTCTTCGATTACAGTTTGGTACCAAAACAATCTTTTCAGATTGTGGCCTAAATTAACACATTAGATTGAGGCCAAGAGGTGGTCACACATTTCATGAGTTTAATAAGCTGCTTAAGGAAATAAAGAAAAGCTGGGAAACAAAACAGCACCTCTGTAACAGGAAAAACAGTGAACTTGTTTACACGCAACAACCAAGCGTTTTCTAGACTACAGTTGCTCCCAACTAAAACACTTTCTGGATCAGTAAAGGAGAGCAGCTACATATGCCTACAAACAACAGCTCTAATAACAATAACAACACCCTTCCCTTTAGCATGTTTAGGACAGTGGTTTTTTACACAGCTAACTGAAGCTCTTCCAGCTGTAGTTAGGCAAGGTAGCTATAAACACAAATATAAAAGGAAGACTCTGTTCCTACCTGTTGCTATAGTTTCAGATGGCAGCAATGCAGCAGCATCTAGAAGAGGTGTCAATCTGTCAGGCACTGCCAGTGCTACAGAGACTGTGCCTTTGCTTTATCCCAGCGCTGTGGCAACAACAGTAAACGAACACCGTGCCGACCAGGGCATGATAGGTTCATTAACCAACACGAAACACAAGGTGCCCAGGGTTCCTAATACTGATCTTTCAAGGCGTTTTATTTAATGGCTTTAAACAAGGAAAAAGGTGTGGGCATTTCATCCTCCCTTTCCTCTTTGAGCTCATCACAACGACACAACATAGCTGTAGAGAGGGGGATTTTAGCAGTCCAACACAATCGAACCATAGCTTGTGTTTCTTTGTTACCACAATCAGGCCCCCTGGAGGCAAAACTAGATTTTAAGTAGGAGAATTATGTAAATCTGGAAAGACCTTCAACCCAACTTTTCAACACTCAAGACACCCTGTAGTGAGATGGGCCCAATGCCAGCAGGCTACAACATAGGTCTCACTCTACCCCAGTAACCTTCCTTGTAATTTGGAGTCATGTTACTGTAAACTTGGGCTCACCTTTCACAGTTACGGTAACCAAGGCTGAGAACTTCCCTTCTTCTGAAATTGCCCTATTTCATGCTGTCCGTAGACAGAGGAACTACTTTTGTGTTAGTATTAAATGTCAATTAGGCTACAGCTCAACCTAAAACATCCAAAAAGGTATGTAAGCAGTACAAAGCAATGGTAACGCATGCAGAATGTAACATAGAAGAGACCTTTATGAAGGGGGATGTACAGCTTACATCCAAAACCTGGGAAAATAATGCCCAAAATAGCTATATTTGTGGGTCTTATCATTAAAACAAAGTAATACCTAGATTTGAAAAGAATTTGTATGTGTTTAACAGAGATGCAGCACAAATTAAATATAGGACAGTCTTACATTATATAGTTTAAAAACTATGTGCAAAAATAAGTACACAGTGCTCCTAGAGACTAGAACCTAGGGCATAGGGACTTTGGCTTGCAGTGTGGTATCTCATGAATGAGAGCATCCCACTGTACAGGTCTGTCTTTGGCTGGACTGAGAGGAGCCATACTATTTCTAGTTTGAGCTGTGTGTCAGCTATGGTCACAGGTGGAAGTGACCTACTTTCACAATAAAAACTCAGTATTATTCTGTGATAGTTGTGAAACACTAGTCAAGCAAGTGCGTGTGTACACCATTGCTGCCTGCTAGCACAACACAAAGTGATACACTTCTTCAATTTAGCTTGAAACATTAAGATATATAACAATACGTTCTGTTCCATCAACTATCCATCCCCATGCCCTCAGTTTGTTGTGATAACTGGATACATGAATGCATCTTATCTCTTATATTCTCTGCCAGCAAATTAGGTCACCTTGCAGTGACTCACAGGCAGGAATGTATAATTAGCTTACCTGTTACACCAGTTACACATTGACTCACCCACCTAAGTTGTTGGGAGTGTACAAAGCTATTCATTTGTATTAGCTGCCCACTAGAATGTATTACCAGAGGGGAGACTGAAACCATTGGAAGGTCATAAATTGAAAACTGAGAGGCATGGGAATGTGCTGCGGCCTTTAGTGTCACAGCTGCTCTAGTCAACTTCCTCTCCAAGTGCATTTCCTCATTTCACTTCAACCAACATGGTTAAATGGTAGGGCGCTTTCCGTGTTAGGAAACCAGACATGGCTACATCGAAGGCCCGCCTAACCCTGTTGTTAAACACAGTTCACTTGAACGGCTTACGAATGGACTTAGTCAAACCGGCTAGTTTAGTACCGTGACAGTAGTTTTACAACACAAAGCGCGTATCCAAAAGACGACAAAAGCCAGCACACCGGAAATATGAGGTTGTCACCCGCCTTTCTTTCGTTAATAACCCAATTTGCTTAGCTCCAAATTAAATGGGTCAACCACGCTCTGGGTCAAGATTTGTCACAAAGGGCGGAAGGCAGCTAGCTTCAGTCGCTATCTACCTTTAGCGAACACTTAACGCCGCTACCTACGTCTGTGGGTTCAGAATTAACAACACGTTTAAAGTTAAAAACACACTAAATCACAACCTTGTTTCACAGTTTCAACACATTTTGGTAAAGTGGGAGCCTCTGTAGAACAGCGGTTGCCAAGACAACTGTTAAAACTATAACCATCGTCCACGTTAAGCTAGCTTCCCGAGAGCAGACACACCGAATAGCTTCTGGTATATCTCGGGATAACGCTAGCTCTTATTTTTTTTAATGAAATTGGAGACGGAGACAGAGGCAGACATTTGTAAGACGTTGTACAAGACAAACAATAGAATGTGTTGTGGGGGGGGAATAAAAATTTAGCAAGTGACCGCAAACCGCTTAGGTGGTCGTAAAGTTAACCAGGTTATTTTGTCTTATTGTTCGAAGAAGAGCCTCTGCTAATGTGGCTAAGTTAGCCAGCGAGCTAACTCAGCTTCCGTCACTTTGCTTTGCTGTTCCCAGCAACGATTAGGAACCGGTCCAGAGAAAACATTAAGGCTGGCTTTTGTGAGACTTGCCTGGATTCAGTTACACTGATTGGCAAAAAATAATAATAATCAGGCTGGAATTAAAAGACGTCGACACCATTTTCTTTTTTTTTTTTTCTTTTTTTTAACAGTGTACGTAACGACAGCAAAGGTTTTGATCATCCCAAGCTGTACTACGTTAACGTGGCTACATACTGTTTCATTTACTCGGGTTAACTTAGCTCCCTTCTGTTGTGCTAATCATCCAACAACGTGTATCCCAAGTTCTTAATAGGCTCTTGCGGATGTGTGATAGTGTAACCGGGCACGATCATATCACAGTCAAGTTTCAAACGATCTGGTTTTCTTTTTCTTTTTTAGGATATCGGTTACTTACAAATAGCAGGCTGAACATTGAAATCCCGTGACTACCCGGAGAAAGTGGAGGGAGTGTAATAACCGCTGCCAGGTCGCCTTTTTGTTCCTCTTCAATGTGGCAGCTTGTATTCTCGTCGGAGGTTGGGAACTGTTGTTGGGGAGGAGCCTCCTCGGTTTGTGGGGACGTTCAGGGACTGTCGGATATACGGCATGCGAGGTAAAACCTGTAGTAAGTAAGAAGTTAACACAATGGGAAACAACGTGGACATCGGTCACTTTCCATAGAACTACAGTTTACTACTTTGTAAATATTGAAAACAAAAACACAGTGAGATGTAGACTTGAAAACAAAGCCGTTGTTTGTAAAAAAAAAAAAAAAGAAGAAGAATAATGCTGACAGTATACACATTACTAGGCTACAACGTTTTCCTTTACTTGGCCTATGACAGAGTTGGGTGTGACTTCAATTCAAAACGTCTGAAGAAAAAACATTATTGTGTAGATTATTTATTGTTATTCTTTCATTCTTTTTTTTTTCTTACATCAGATACATTGGTAGAAGCTTGGTAGAAGTGAAATACTAAATAATAGGCAACATTTCATCATGTGTTACATCTGCGTTCCTTTTTTTTTGTTTCTCCGCTGTAACCAAATATGAACCATGGTAATTTAATAACAAACTATAGAATATATAATGTACTTTTACGGGCTTATTGTTATCACCCGAACGCAGCATGCAGGTTCTGGCGTCAGTGCGACGTCAGAAGAATCCGGGGTGCACGATGACAGCTCACCATGGTGACGATAGTTCCAGAAAATAACAGCTCAATTTTATCCATGCGCTCATGGGTTGTTTTGTAACATAGGCTACATTTAATCTATTGCATGCATCCAATCAGATTTCTAGATGCTTTATGGACACTTGAAGATTCGCATATTACGGGCCATTGGAAAGGCGTTTAGACCATACGGTAGTTTAAGCTAGATTTTTCTTTAAATCAAGTGTTTTTATTTTTTTGTGAGATTAAAAATCCTATTTATGTTTAAGACCATTTATGTTGAAACTAAATGTAGCCTACTACAATGCCACAGCAAAAAAAAAAGTGCAATACCATAGCTAAAAAAAAAACATAAGCCTTACACAATACAAATCAGGACATTAGAAAAGTGAAATGTTCCAGGAGGATAAAATAAGAGACACATGTCCTTAATAGATATAGTGTATGCTGGGTTTCCCCAGGGGATCTTCCACAAATAGGCTACCCCAGAAGGTGTGTCTCACCTGCACATGGGGAAAACTAATAAAAAGATTAATATTTTTCATGTTTTTTTTTCATGTACTATTTTGAATAACTATTTGTTAACTAAATCATCTGACCTGACAAGAAAAGTCATTTCTTCTGCCTTGAGCTCACTGGTAGACCAGACAAGGATCCCCTTACACAAAAAAGTGTATAACTGCACATCACCCTCTACTGTTGACACACTGCATACAGAATTTGCATTGCATCCTGACCTAGCCTATATATTGAGTAGTGACTTATCTGTGTGCAGCTGCGTAATATTTTTTAATGCTCACACACAGTATACAAACAGGGAGTCTGACACCGACATACAAGAATGTTTTTATTGATGTGGTATCAATACAATCAAGTACTGTAGATTTTGTATAAGCAGACAAACATTTCAATCAAAAAGAGTGCATTTTATACCCATATTCTATTGCATAGAGTGCCTTGTATGACAAAAATCCTATACGTTGATACATAGAACATTACACAATTAGAAAATAAAAGTCCACAAATAATCCTTCACAAACAACGCTAGAATGCTAACTAAATGTTGTAAATGCTCTTAACTCATCAATGCTGTTAAATACCATATATACGTTCTCGGCTTCGGTGGTCGGTTTTGGCATCCCTATTAAATTATCATAAATGTATAAATACATCTTCATTAGTTCATGTGCAAATGGGAATGGCCGTTTGTATTTACTGACACTAAAACAAACAAATATCCCTTAATAACCGAAGCAAGGCTTTTTATTAATCTTTTTTTTTTTTTTTTTTAAAGAACAAAAAACACTTAAAAGCTATTTTGTTTCAGACAGTACATGGATCTTACTGACACTTGTTCAATGATTTGCACCCGGGGCAAACTCTGCAAGCAAGTGACATTGTCTATGAAAACACAAGGACAGAAAGTAATAGTGACAAGTAACTCACACCATGCTTCATATGTCCAAAATTATATAGCGACAAAAAAAAGGCAACATACAGTACATAACAAGCCTTGGACTGTCTTGCAGACTCACAGTGATACATGGCCATTGTGATTGTGTTCATGTTATTAGAGGCAAAGGCCAAGCGAATTGTTTGCATTACATGGGTGTCATATACTGATGAGACCTAAATGCTAGCACTGCTTTTCCAAAGTAAAATATAAAAGGTTAGTGTTTTATAGTAACACATGCAGCAATGAATTGTTTTATAATTGCTGTAAATCAGTCAAACATTTTACATTCATTCTGATTGCAGGCTCTGATCATATTTGGCACAATCCTCCCACTCCTCCATCAAGGTGTAAGGCACTCCAAAAAATCTTAGTAATAATGTTATTCTGGCAGCCTTAATATGACTGGGATCCTCAATTTAGGAATCAAAAGGCACGGAATCGGTAACTAAAGCACAAATGTTTTAACTGATTTTGCCCAAACCTGAACAGCTCCTCCCTTCTGTCACCATTCATAAACATTCTGGTACACTTCATCAGAATGTTATTCAATTATTTCGACCAGTTTCAGTTATGCAAAAACAATTTGCCACTCATTGGATTAAGTATCAGTATTAAGATCAAGTATTTTAACTCTATTTAATGATTTAACATCATTTTCTAATGATGATTGTGCAACGATAATGAAACAATTGTTTTTGTCTCTCACAATCGATACATTACATTCACGATTTACCTATTTTATATATTGTTTTCCCTTACTTTAAAAAGGCACTAGAATAGTATGCGAAATTATTTTAAAACCCAAAAGATACTGAAACACTTTATAGTCAAATTTATTGTGGATCATTGACAGGACTATGAGCCTTTTCCTAAGATTTTGCAACTTCAGCAAGTTTGGTATTATCTTGGCTGCCCACAATGCTTGGAGGACAACGTGAAACATCTACTCACACACTTAAATCAACAGAAGGGCACACGTACTACAAAATACAAGCACATGTATTCATACACACACACACACACACACACACACACACACACACACACACACACACACACACACACACACACACACACACACACACACACACACACACACACACACACACACACACACAAGGTATATTTAATGCCTCATCCAGCAGAGGAGTAAATAAATGGCTCTCACCTATGGCCCACCAACTCTCCCAGAAATCTGGCAGGAGTTTGTTATATGTTACACAACCTGTATTTCACAACCTGTGGGCCACTGCCTGTCCCTTTACTTATTCATGGAGTTTATGCAGATTGATTCTCATTTCACATTTAACATTACTGAGTTATAAAACATGTAGTCCTGTAGCCACGGATAAAGCTTAAAAATTATTTAGCTAGTTTGGACAAAATGGGCTGGAACTTAAAAAAGGCCTTTGTATTTAGAACCACAAATGACTCAGAATTGCTCTTAATTGCCTTATCTTGCATTGAAGAAAAAACTGATTGTTTTATATTATAGTCCATCTGCCTCCCTGTTTTTTGAAGCCCAGTTTACAGCATGTTCACAGATTATGTTACAGTATATGTGGTCCGAGGCTTTCATGGAAGTACAGATTTCTCACTATGAGCGTTGATTGGTTTATCACAAAGTTATATAACATTTGTAAGCAGTGACGTCATGGTCAGAATGTCTGAAGTAGGTTGCCTGTAATAGATCAATAAAGTGAAACAGGCCATCAATCCAGCTATGGTTGTGTCCTTCCTGTCCATTATGCAGTTCCTCTCAGTATCTTTTCTATGGCTCGTAAACATTGACTGTATGCATACATATCAGCCTCAATTATAGTTGTTCAAACAGTAACAATAAGGCATTGTTTTGAATGATATTCATTCCTTATGCTCGTGAAATGGGCAATTTAAAATAATTCCAATACTGCAAGATCTTTTTAATTCGATCATTGCACTTCTAGGATTTATTAACATTTCAGTCAATTAACCAAAGACAAAGATCCATTATTTTAAATGGTTTGATATATCGGCCTTTGAATGTTATGCTCAAACTGCAACACATCTACCCGCCACTAACCAGGGCTGAAGCCATACACTGGCTGCTGCTTCATTTAATGGGCCTGCTCTCCACATTTTCTACCGATATGTAAAAAAAAGCACAATGGGAGGGGTAACATCTAGTAGAAGCAGCACAGTTTGGCGGTATTTTGATCTAGAAAATTTAGAGGGAAATATGCTGTGTCAGGTTAAATTGGCATATTGACTGGAGCAATGCGTAACCACATTTAGTAGAGGCATGTGGATGTTATCTTGCAGGAAGAACCTAAGGCTGGCGGTGCTAGCCCTGAAAACATTAGCCACACATTGCCTATCAAATAACATAATTTACCTGCAGAAAATTAAGAAAAAAAGTGCGCTCAATTTGGACTTCTCACTGAATTTTCTTACCTTTTGCCTAATTGATTAGTCTGAATTTAAATTTCTATTTAACCCACTAGGTAATTAGTTGCCTAGGAACATCCCTAATTAAAGCACCAAATGCCTTGTTGTTGCTTATGTATGTTTGTATGTTGTATTGCTATGTCAGACTTGCCATTCACTGCCTTAATAAGAACATGAGGGGGGATGACTGCAACAGGAGCCCATCAGGGTCTGGTGATGTTGTCCGTATGAAGCATGAAGGCAGGATGTGCAGTCACATGGAAGGGTTTGTCACTAGCACATTTCAAAGTAAGTCACATAATTGTCTGAATCCAACAATGATGATGATGAGGACCAAGCAATAAAAAATAAAATTATGACAATATAATAATTAACATAATATAAGCTAAAAAACACTGACATAAAATATAACCCAAAACACACATTTGAAGGACATTGAAACAAATAACAAAGTATGAAATTTCTTCCCCTGTTTTTAAAAACGTTTCCATTCACAGAGTTTTTCTTTTCTTTCGCAGATGTTGTTGAGGGTGAGATGGATAATGATGATGGCAATCATGTTGAGAATCCTATGGGTTTTGTGTTTCTATTATGGCTGCAGGTGTTTTAGGTTAAGGGCTGCTCTGAGGTGCCAATACAGGAACGTGTTTGAAAAAAAAAGGGGACGGGGTTATGTTGGACAGAGTAAGAATCCTGAGAAGGAGGAATGGATGTACTCGGTCGAATAGAGACCATTCGCCTGATCTGATGGCATCTGGACCCAGACCTGATCCCCCTCCTTCAGCTCTAGGACAGCACTACCAGACGCCTGGTCCATGTAGCCTTTCTTGTACTCATCATAGGTGTAAGTGGCAGGTACATTGTTCTTGTACAGTGCCACCCACAGGCTAGTTCCCTTTACGTGCATGTGGTATGCAAAGTAGTAGACACCGGATAAAGGAGCAGTGAACATGCCAGTAGCAGAGCTGTAGGCGTTTTGCCCATTGTACAGGGTCCTGTCAAATTTGATTGGCATGGCAGACGGAGGGAAAGGTGTGGTGAGGATGGCTGTGAAGGCAGGGGCCACAGAGGCAGAGAGTGGAACTTGACTGTACGCAGGCCCCTTCCTGTCTCCTGGTACTTCATCCCCTTCTAGCTGTGAACCTGTTGGCCCTGCAACCACTGTCTGGCCATTTCCTGGAGGACCAGGGGGCCCTGGAGGCCCAGGTGGTCCAGTGTTACCATTAAGCCCAGAAGGGCCTGGTTTCCCTGGGGGACCTTGGGGACCAATAGCTCCCTTTTCTCCCAACTTACCAAGGCCTGGAGACCCTGTGAGTCCAGGTTCACCCTTATGACCTGGAATACCCTGTGGCCCCATGGGTCCCATAGGGCCCTGAAGACCTGGGATGCCTGACTGTCCCCTAGGCCCTGGGGTCCCTATAAACCCTGTCTCACCTTTGGGACCTGGAGAACCTGTCAGTCCTGGATTCCCTGGTAGGCCAATATGTCCTGACTCACCTTTTGGTCCAGGTTTTCCAAAAGGACCATTAGGCCCGGGGATGCCTTTTTCCCCAGGGATGCCAGGTTTTCCAGAGGGTCCACTTGTCCCTTGGTCACCTCTGAGGCCAGGTAGCCCTGGGGGACCCTGGGGCCCCAACTCGCCCTTCTGTCCTGTCATTCCGTGTTTTCCTGGGAGTCCCATTGGCCCTTGAAGTCCTGGGGGTCCAGATAGTCCATCAAGGCCTGGTTCCCCAATTGGGCCCACCATCCCTGGCTCTCCTTTGTCCCCTGGGAGACCTGGCAATCCACTATGGCCCTTATCTCCTTTTGTCCCACTCAGACCAGGTTTTCCATAGCCAGGAGTCCCAGGAAAGCCAGGAGAACCCCTTGGTCCTGGCTCACCTTTTGGACCGAATGGACCTGGTCCTCCAGGCAGTCCGTCGACACCAGGCTTCCCTAATCCAACTGGCCCTGGTAAACCTTGTGAACCTGGAGCCCCAGCCTCCCCTGGTTCTCCTAGATCCCCTGGGGGTCCTTGATCACCTTTAAGACCAGGCAATCCAGGCAAACCTTTGAGTCCTGGTTTGCCTATACCTGGAAGACCAGGTGGTCCTGGACTTCCTTTTAGACCAGGTGGACCCCTTATACCAGTAGGCCCTGGTTTCCCGTTTCCATCTTCACCTTTAAGCCCACGGTCACCTGGTTGGCCAGATAAACCCTTAAGTCCTGGTTCACCACGAGACCCGGCGGGGCCTCTGATGCCTGGAAGCCCTGGTTTCCCATTCAGAGAGAGACCAGCTGGTCCAGGTAGTCCTGGCTGCCCTGAAGGACCTCTGGGACCTGGTTCACCTCGAGGGCCAACCTCTCCATTAATACCAGGCATCCCCTTTGGCCCAATCTTTCCTGGTAGACCTGTTAGTCCAGGCTTCCCAATTCCTGGAAAACCAGAAGGTCCCTGGGGGCCTGGCTGGCCATTGAGACCTGGCTTGCCTAGTCCAGGTTTTCCTGGAAGCCCTGATGGCCCTGGGGGACCTCTTGGTCCAGGTTTCCCTTGGGGGCCTGGTTCCCCCTTCACCTCCATCATGGGTGGCATATCTGAAAAAAGAGATGTCCACATGGTTAGCACAAAAAGTACTATATATATATATATATATATATATATATATATATATATATATATAGTATATAAATATATACAGTATGACTGTACTCATTAGGGTCTCCAAACACGTACTAAGTATGTATTTCAATAGAGTTTTCAACCATCATGAATTGTGGGATTACCTGAGACAAATGCTCCACTATTTAGGTCCCATATTCTGCTTGTTCTGGTTTTATATGCCCTTTAGTGTTTTTTCTGTCCTGTGCATGTTTAGGCACATCTATGTGCAAAAATTCAAAGTCAGCGGAAATGCGGCTTCTCCTACGTCTTCCTGTTAGCTGTAGCATTAGCTGCATGTAACGCTCGGTTCTAGCCCCCCTCGATAAAAATTTGTAAGTGCGGCGTCATTGTCAGTGTGAGATCACTGATCTTAGCCCATTGGCTCGTTGTGGCAAGCCCTGCAGCTCATGTTGAAATTTCCGAGAAGCGTGCTGAGCAACTGACCAATAACGACAGAGTGGATCAGCAGACCAATCAGAGCAGACTTGGCCCACGTGGGGTCTAACAGTGGGGGGCTCAACAGAGTGCAGCTGACGGACTCAGAGCGTAGAGGGAGCAAGGAGGAGCAGTACATGAAAACAGACACTTTTTTCGAACTTTAGCTCTTGTGAACGTACAAAAGTAGGTACATAGATTAAATATACGAACCCCAAAAAGGGCATAATATGGGCTCTTTAAGTAAAAATATATTTTTTGTGGAACAGCTAAATGGAAGCTGTAAAGAAATTAGGGAGAAGATAGGATTGATCAAAATACACCAACAACTGTCTTAAAATCAGAAAGCTTCCAGTCTGTTCGAAAATTTGTCTAACTTCACGTTTATATCCTAATTAACCGTATAACCCTCTCCATTAATGATGTCATATTTTGACCATACAGTTATACACTACTTCAGTTTCATGCATTACTAAAGCATATCTCAACACATGTTGAACCTAAAATCCATACATAAAAAGTACCCAGAAAGGCAAAAGTGCAGACAGATAATAGCGGAATTGGACAGTAGTTAATTTTTCTGATTTCCAGGTGGTCTTATTGGGATTTCAAGTGTAAATTGCAAATATTTTGAGTGTAACAAAGAGGGGCCTTAACAAAAGAAATACGCCACAAGTCCCTTAATTCTGTACAAACAGGGACACGGCCCATTAATCATAGACTTTTTCTTGTTTCTTGCTTCAAGACACTGCTTCATCCCTGCACACATTTCCTCTATGTTAGTCCTCATGGTAGGTCCAGTGATAAAACTTATATATAAAAAGCATCATTTAAGCATTTTAAAACGTGTAGATTATTTGGAATCTCTGTTTAATAATATTTTAATGCATTTAAGAACCAACTGCTTAAGCCAGCCTAAGCTATTAAAATACTCAGTTGTCAAGTCAGTCCAAGCCAGCTTAAGTAGAGTATATTACACAGTCATTAGTTGTCTCCACATTTTCTCCTAATTTTAACAATATCCAAAGAAGCCCTGAAGTATCACCTCTGGATCTGGATAAAACCTTGGATCTGAGGCTACACTTTTAACAGTATACAGCCTATGGCAATTTCTTTTACTAATTTGATAACTGAAAGGTCTCAAGTGGCTCATTAAAGAAAATCTCAATAAATGAATAAAAATAGAATGGGGAAACATACAGTTTCCTTTTTTTTCTTGAAGCCATCAAGGGAAACTGAGGTTGGAAATTGTAAAACATCCCCTCATACAACCTATAGGCAACTGCTACCCCCTACTGGCACTTAGTGAGAAAGCAGCCTTTTTAAGATCAGTTTTGTTGCTGATGTTCTTGTTTGGTCATGTTGAAGCAGTATAATTATTTCCAGTCCATCTTGAAGGCATTAAATTGCCTTATTGTAGGAGAGTTTTGTTCTATGGCGATGTGGTCATTTTTTTTTTTTTTTTTTTTTAGAAAGCTTTATTACAAACAGAAGCTCTAGAAAAATCAAACAGGAAGAGCAACACAGATTGTCAGATGGCTAAAAAGAACATAAGTTGTTACAACTGCAAATATGTTACAATACTGTTAATTTTCTGTACAACACTTACATTTGACTGTGCTCACTTAGGGTATCTACAGGTAAGTATCTATATCTAGCTTTGGTTTGTATGAATCAATAGAGTGCCATCCTAAAGCCAGATTACACTTTATGGCAGAATTAAGGGATGTAAGAAAACTAAGACTGTTACTTCATTATTTAAAATGTATTTTTAGTGCTTTTTGTGCCTTTTTATTTGTGAGACAGGACAGTGGATAGAGTTTGAAATCAGGGAGAGAGAGAGAGAGGGAGAGAGTGGGGAATGAGACGCGAGAAAGGACCCACAGGTGGGATTTGAACCAGGGTCTCCTGGTCCACTTATCCACTTAAGCCTCTGTACATGGTGTACACACTAGGTTACCAGTGCTCGTTACTTCATTCTTTACATATTCACAAAAAAAAAAACATAGTGTTCATGTGTGTAATGAGCTTTTTAGCCTCCACATTGTTTGTTTTATCTGTAGTCCACATCTCTACTGCAGACCATCTTAATACATCACCCAGACAAAAGAAATAAGGTGCTTCACACTTGAGAGGATTTAATGGCTTTTTCATTACTTGCTGCAACAGCCTCCGGGGATATATAGAATTAAGTTGTGCTTTCAAATACATTTGAACTCACAAGGGGAAGAAATGTCTTCTAATCTGTTTTTTTTTTTCTAAGAGTACTTTTTTGTAGCATCAAGGCAAGCGGTCACATTGCAACGATACGGACTCCTTTCTAGCTACAACCGATATGTAACCCACATCTCAGAGTTTGTGTTAATGAAAAACTGGGAAGTAAATTAGGAAGCTTTGAAGTAAATGTTAAAAATAGTTAAGGTTACTCTCAATATGCTAAGTTGTGACCATTTGTAGCCATGTTGGATATATTTAGTTTTGTAAAAATGCTTATAACACCATGCTGTTATCCACAAAGACATTATTTTCTTAATTTTTTCCTTGTTTTACAAATGATACAAACCAGGCACAGAACATTCTATTAATATCATCTATGTATATATGACTCAATCATTATTAAAATATTGATGTAATGTGGGCATATGGCCACTGAGCGGCAGTAGAGTCACTCTATTCTTATGCAGCATTAGTTTCACAGCAAATCTAAATCTTATTTGACCATTGTTTAGCATCTCATTTCAAAGCATAGCTTCTTTCAAAAAAAAAAAAAAATTCTAACTCTGTGAGGCTTTTACATGCAAAACCTTCACACTTAATTTGATCTGAGTCCAACTTCATAAGTATTTCTTGCTCTTGGGTGTTATGGTCCTGAAATGAAAATGTGCCTCTTATATCCTTTGAAACTAACTTTGAAGAAGGGGCCTCTGATAACACAAGGCACATCGTATATGATCCAGAGCGTGTTTTGGTCGTTACAGTCAAATATGATAATGATGACAGCATGCACATTTCTTCAGGATGATTATCACCCCCTCCTTCTTTCCTCCGATCCCTCGCCTCAGCCTTTTATTTCTTCTATTTTTATTTCCTCACACTTTCTCCTTCATCCCACTGCTGAGGAATATGTGATAAACAGTGGGGTAACAACATCCAGATGGCAGGAGGAACAACTGGCCTGGTGGAGCTCAGCAAACTGTGGGTAATCAGACCTCCATTAGGCCCCAACTGAGGACTTGCCAAATGCTGCTGGACCCACAGGGCAGAGAGACACACACACTTCAATGAGCCCTTAAAACTGCCTGAAGAGAGCTGGCGGCTGATTCCTGGAAGGGTCTCCGTATCAATCACATCATAAAATACGATGTTGGATGCTTCTTTTGTTCATGGGAAGTTGTTTTAATGTGTGTTGTTTTATTCTTTTCTATGTCGTTGTGGAGCTGTGCTTATGATCAACATCATACCGGTAATAGCTTTCGTTCTGCTGGTTGTAAAAAGTTGAAATTCTCAAGACTACTGCCAACAGGATACTTTAAAGAAAGTTTGTTGAAATATCAAAAGGCAAATGGATTTTCCTGTAGTTTAATTATGGTTTCGCATGGACTTACTAAGGTTAAATCATGTAGAGATAGTTTTAAAAAAAAAATGACCTTAATCAGTTGTTTTATTGACCCAGCTGTTTATGGGAAGTCAGCCTTTATGTAGCACAGAGCGAGACACAGAAGTAAAAGGGCTACAGATACAATACACCCACAGGGATTACTCACCGACATAATGCCCCTTGCCCTCTCTGAAAGGCGGTCCAATTGGCCCTTTCATCATGGGCTGCATGTACTTCATATGGGGTATGGGGGGATAGCCACCAGCAAGAGCACGCTCCCCCAGCATCAGCAGCAAACACAGAGGAGCCAACAGCATGGTCACCAGCGTCCCAGGCTTCAGATGTCACACACAAAGACCTGCAGGCAGAAACACAAGAGGATAGTGTTTGTTTCAATATTCTCTGGGATTAAACACAACATCACATCGAATATTTTGATGGGAAAATGAACATTGTGTCACATTTAATTGTAGTATTGAATGAATCTGCTACAAGGAGTAAGGAGTGAGGCACATGTGTTTTGTCATAAAAAATTGTCTTTTAAAAGCTTCCAAAAAAACAATTCTCATCAAGCCAGAAAACAACACTTTGAAATAAAATGAAATAGGTTTCTTCAAAGAAGAGAAGAAGATATTATTGGTTTGCTACTCAGCTATAAATGGGCTAAAGTTTGGCTGACTTCTTCTAACGCATTCTTTACTTTTATGTGCAGCTTTTTGCAGACAAATTCTAAAGCCAGACAGACTTCCCAAAAACATGAGACACAAACAGCTAAAAAAAACAACTTGTTAGCATACTGCTCACAGCTGCTTTGATGGCCCTCAGGAGATGTGAAGGGGCGAAGATTTGTTGACTTTAATTTGACTCCAGGATGGAGTGACCACAGCACCCTCTCTGCCAAATATTTTCACGACCGTGGTCAGGTGCGAACAGGAAACCACCAGAGGTATTAGTGAGGGTGTTTCAACTGTAGGCGTCAGGTGCTGGCTTTAACTGGTGAAATGATGTGTGAAAAGAGGCATAAATTCCTCTCCAACTCTCCCCCGAGGTGTTCTTATCAGCTGTCTTTGGACTGATGGCTGTCAGAAGTCGTTTTGTGAAATAGTGGAATGCAAAATGTAAGTGGGGTTCGGACAGCTACTAGTTTAACGCTGTGCTTATTCATAGAGAAATGAGATACAACTGTATCATAGCAACTGTTTGGATCTAGTTTAATAAAGCTATGGATTTTTGCTCTTCATACTGCAGAACATCCTGCAATGTTCTGGCCTCAATCTTTGAAGTGTTGCAAAATCTGATCACAGAGCATAATAATTTGCATCACTCTTCTTAATTTTCTTTCCTGCTTCATATGATTCTCATTTTGTCATGTGTGTGTGTGTGTGTGTGTGTGTGTGTGTGTGTGTGTGTGTGTGTGTGTGTATGTCATGCTTTGAAAACTGCAGGGTTGAGCATGCCAGAAAGGAGAATTCCCTCTGAAGAGCACAACAATGGCATGAATACAAGCTGATATATTGAAAATTGAAAAATTATCCCACACTTTCTAAGTTGAAAATTACACCGAATAAAACACTGCAGTTAACCAGGAGCAGAGACGGAAAGCAACGTGTGTGTTCACAGTTGACTGCACATGTGTGCAGAGATCAGGCCTAACCTACAACTTTCTCTTGCCTATAATCTGTGATTGTTTAACAACCACACAGCTAGGCAGTCAAATCTTTGTTTTACAGCCATTTAACTGTGTAAAAGCAGGTTTCTGTTTAGCTAGTTCTCTTGTAATTAGTCAGTGGTGTGCGTGTGTCAGCCGCATCTGTTACTGCTTGTTTATAATGCTTTGTGTTCCTGCCAGGAAGAAAGATTAACTCAAACTTTCACACTAAATGTCCGCGTATGAAATATGAAGAAACCAAATACAAAGATGTTAGAAGAAATAAACAAAGAGAAAAAAGAGAAGAGTATTTGGTGCTGCAGTGTTTGGTCGTTGGCCGACTTGCTGGCTGGCTGGAAGGGAAGCTCGTCTGGTATGGAGGTCTGTGGTTTTGGTGTAGATGTAATTTAGCAGGCAGCTCTGGATGCCCACCATTCTGCAGGCGTCAAACTCTCTAAAGAACCAGAGCGACACGCTCTTACTCAGACGGGGAGACTGTGCATGAACAGGGATCAGACACAGACAGTGGTTTCAGAGACCTCAACAATCTGTTTATCAAGTGTTTTTTGTTGAAAAGCTCAGCAGACTTTGCGAAAAAATCTCACGCAATCCTCGCTGGCTGGCCACCACGAGCCACTGCTGGACCGAGATTAGCGCACGCTCTCAAAAACACAAGAACACCCACGTAACAAAACACGTACTCTCCACTTGCATGGGAATGCGACATTCTTCTGATAAGTGGTTACGCAGGGGCATTTTGAAAATACTCAAACTCCTCAACTCCTCATTTTCTCATAAAAGGAGTCCTTATAAAACAAGCCATCATGAAAGGACTGGCGAGTAGTGAATCAAAGCCTCCCTCAGTCTTTAAACACCAGAGGCATCCAAAGTTACAGCGAAGGAGCCTTGCCTGGCAGGCTGAGTGACATTTTATATAAAACAGATTTAGCTGAATTAACTACACACATTACAGTATTAGATCCAGAAATACACAAAGAACGCAAAGGCAGAACAGAAAAGAGGCATTAATGAGGAAATAAGGGACAGTCGGACCCTCGGTTTGGAAAAGGGCAGCGCCATCATTACTCATTGTGATCACTTCACTGTTCCAGCTTCCAAAGGGCTGTCAAATAACTGAGCGCTATGTCTGATGACAACATCCATGTACAGATTATGAAAAAAAGGGCCTCTGGGCACAGACATGTAAAAAGAACCCCCACCCTTCCTAAAAAAAAAAAAAGGAGCAAAACAACCAGACTCAAAGAACATCCCTGTTTAGCTTTCTTTATAGATTTTTTGTTTTTTGTTGTTATCTTTATGTGTCTCTTTGTATTTGTTGTTCATCAGTGTATCTTTGTAGTCATTTTGTGACTTTTTTTTTTCTATTTGTAGACATTTTGGATCTCTTTTGGGAATTTGGGAATGTGCTAAACTCTAAGGTACAACTATTCATTCTGACTCCACCAGAACTTATTTTGTTCAGACAGATAAAGAGAGGCTTTCTACCACAGCAGATTTGCAGTCAAAGTGCGAGTTACGAGAACATCGAATCGACTGAAGAGACAGCACAGAATGTGTACGAGTCTGTATAGCAGTCTGAGTTTCCGCTGGTCCTGGGTCAGAAAACAGTACTAAAGCAATTTTTTTGGGGGAAAAGCATTTTAGGGGTTAGGGTTAACCCAAAGAGATACTTTTTTCCACAGATACTACAAAGACCTCAGCGCGCATCAAAAAGATGATATGAAAACATCAATTCCAGTCCGTCTCTGTTTTCCGAAGCAGGGCTTCTCTTCTGTCTCCCTGATTTGACACTTTATTTCAGCATACACATATCAGACAATAGCCAAAACAAATGGTTTAGTTAAATGAGAATTGATATCAACATATAAGAAAAGAATAATCAAGACATCTGTGGGAACTTCAGGACAGAAATGCCACTGCTGCCCTTGGCTTGTGCTTTGTTCGCCCCATCCGGAAATCCATCCAGGTCCAAATGAAACACATAGACACATGTTGGCAAGTGCACCTGATGAACTGAAACTGAAATGCCACTTTACCCCACCTTTCTCCAAACCAGATGGAAATCCAAGTCAAAGACACAAACCAAACCTGAAACTTGCAGTCTTTCTCCAACATGTGTTGGATACCATTTCTGCAGAGCTGAAATGCTCATCTGCGAAAGCTTTGGGCAAACAAAGAGCAGACTCAACAGCTATCGAATCCAAACTCAGCATCATCTCAAGTGGCCTCCTCAGACAAGGCAGATGAGACACAGACACCACAGCTCAGTGCAAGCCAAGCACTCATTTCCCTAACTGCTCCGTTTACCCACTAATGAAATCAACAGCATCGGGGAGGTGAGGTTGAAGGTGCTCTGCCTCCACTTTCCTTAAGTAGTATGTGTGTGAATCCAGACTGCGAGGCATTTCCTGAACCACAATGCCACAGAGGGATTATAGGTACACCAAGGGTGAGGATTTGGTGTCACGGAGGGAAGAGGGGACGTTTGTTTTTGTGGTGAACATTTGAGCTGCTCCCCGAGTGGAGGAATCATCACCCAAACATCATGTACCACATAATGCCAGCTTTTAAAAAAACAAACACCAAATGGTTCACCAACAACTGAGGTCCGTGATGGTTAGATGGTTTGGTTACAGCCACAAGTCTAGCTCTTAAAAACCAACCACATATTTTAGCTGATTCATCCAATTCTCACAGAACCTGAGCCACAACTACTGCCATAACCATTCCTGACTTTTACCATCAAGCCACATGGGTGGCCCGCTGCTATTCAACCACAAACATCATCCCTTAATAAAGCAAATGTTGGAAGCGTTCTTTTTTTACAGCCAAAATTAACTTCCAACACTCGAGGGGGGAAGAAAAAACACACTTAGAATAAGCTCAATTTATACATCTGTGGTTTCCTATTAAATCTGCAGTCTAGACATACAAGTATGATCGGATTTTACAGATTTGCTGTCAAAGAAAAAAAGACATGCACCTGCACACATTTGGAAAATCTGACACAAACAGGCCCAAACATTGCTAGCAGACAACACAGAGCTCCATTGACTATTGTGTGTACGCCTTGTTGTATACCTTCAGGTGAGATTGAAGGACAGAGAGAGGTGGGAGAGAGTGAGCAAAGCAGTTACACAACCTGCTGTCGGCCAGAGTTACACAGCTCTTACTGAGTCTGATGCTGTGTGTGTGTGTGTGTGTGTGTGTGTGTGTGTGTGTATGTGTGTGTGAGAGGGACAGAGGAAATTGAGCGTGTTGGGTTCTATTTAGAGAAGTACCTTGTGTTGAATGAGGTAATTCCTCCTTCAGCCTGAGTGGCATTTGGCCCATTACGCCTTTCCGGTGTCAGCTCACTGCGTAATATTTGAGTAGTGGTCACAGTTTTTGGTGGCTTTGAACGCACCCTGTATTACTCAACACTGTATCAATAAGCAGTTGGGAAACAGTATGGCCGTTCACATAACGTGTCCATGTGTGTTTATAAGAGTAGCCACAGAGCTAATGCACACACCACGAGACATTAACATCTGTTACTACAGTTGCAACCAGTTGGAAAGTGAAGGTTTTGTTTGGTTGATTCTCAGGAAAAAGAAAAGTCCCCTCTGCCCCGCCACAATAAAGGCTCCCTTTTGATCACTTATAAGTGTTTCCATTGAATCATTATTAATTAAAGGGCAAC